ACAGTGGTTTTTCCTTTCTTGCTAGTGTTTCTAACATATTTATAAGGTACCATGTGATTTTTTTTGTTGCTTTGTATGTCCCTCCCCCATGGTATAACCACTGTTTTCACTGTATTTGATGTCTGTATAATTTGGGGAGGGGAAGGGAAAAAACAAAATGTTTAAATAGGGATACAGGTGGATCCATTGCAACAATGAGATGTACAATACACTATGTTGGAAAACAAACTTTACAATTTAGGCGGAGGAGGGGGAGTGTAGTTGTGGAGGTGGGGGAAGGGATGGTAGGGGAAAAACAAAGGAGGAGGTAATCATGCTGGATAAGAAATGTACTCATTACCTTGCTCATGTAACTGTAACCCCTCTCTCTGTACAGTATTTTCACAATAAAAACTTATTAAAATACATGTGTTTTATAAGCATAAAGTTTATGGATGCATCTCCACTTCTTAGTAAGATCTTTTTTTTTCTTTGGTGCTTAGTGATGGTTTGCTAAAACACACTGGTATAGGGATATTACTAATGAAACTGTTGGACTGATCCAGAAGCTACTAGTATGCAATCTCTGACCCAAGTCTCTAAAGTATCTCTGCTCTCCTATCATTCTTTTGTTTGCTATTTTCTATTAAGAGAAGACACAAATATATGAATGTTTCTGGAAATTGCATCCCTTACCTTTAAAAACAGAGAGTACGACACTCCTAGCAATAGCATCATTAACTCATTGATCTTGACCTATCTGCCAGGCACTGACTTCTAAGCATTTGACTTGACCCATTTATTCCCCATCCTGGTGCTATGAGATACTATCAATTATCATTTGCATTTTCACAGACAAGGAAGCAGAGGTGAGCAAAGATTAGATCCAAGTCACACAAGTAGTGATCCCTAAAATCAATCCTATACCATCTAGATTCAGAGATGAGGTTCTTCATTTCTCCTCATGTTAGCCTTCTTTAGCAACCATCCTGGAGTAGTAGTCTAGGCAAAGAGTGCTCTTTTCTAAGATAAATGCCTATACTTGTTATCGTATTTGTTTAGATTTGACCTTACTGGAGCCAAGCCTAACTGTGACATTTACAGACATGGGTTGATTTTCATCTCAGTGCAAGATACAAAGCAACCTGCTATTTAGTCTACCTGTAAAAGGCACTTAGGAAGTCCTAGAGGAAGCTAATTATAATGCAGCACATTTCCAAGGCACCATATCTTGCTGTGTTGCCATAGTAACAGTGGGAATTTCCGGTCTCTGACCTTTGAGGGAATCTGAGGATACGTTTTCATAGGGCTGAGCCCAGAAGGCAACCTAGTGAACTGCATTCATGTAAAGTTGCAGGCTCAGCACACAAAAAAGTCCCCTCTGTGAACCTACATGATTTTAGGATTAAATTATATTAGCAAGACTTACTGGAGGACTTTTTTTCTCTGTCAGAAATGTGTTTTTTAATGTAAGACAACATAATTAAAGATACAACAGTATTGGTAAAAAAAATAAAAAGCAAAGGAAATATTAGAAATACAGAATATACTGCTATTGGCAATAAAGTCACCTTTAGTTTTTAGCATCCATTGTGTTTTGAATTCTTCAAACTTAGGCTTACTCAAAGGATAAAAATATGGCATTATTCATCAAAAACATACTTAGGAAATCAAATCTTATTCAATATTAAGGTGTGATATTGTTAAAAAACACAACTTCTTAAGTCATGAATTTATGTAATCATTCTACTACTAAATAAATATATAATTTTAAATCCCATTTATATGTATCTTTTCCTTTGAGCACTTGGCAAAAGCCATGAACTAACATGGGAAATGACAGGTTTGCCTTCTTATAGTTTGTGGTTATTATGACATCCATGTTTTAATTTTCTACTGAAAAGTGATAACTTAGCTCTACCATCAAGATATGCATAGTTTAATTGTAAGGAAATATCTCTTCAGGGCTGAGTAATTTCTCCTTAAATAAGTAAAACATCTTCATTCATGGACATATCACTTACACACACACACACACACACACACACACACACTTGTGAACAAAAATAAGCATGTACTAGCACTGGTACCTAGAGAAAGCTACTGCTCTATTTCTTAGACTTCTGGAAGGCTTTCTTTCTCAGCTACATGTCCTCATTCTGAGACACCATGTGGTTTTACTGTGATGGCACTCTTGGCTCTGACACTTATTAGCTATGTGGCTTTGAGCAAGTTCCTGGGTCTGCAGGTGCTGTTTGCTCATGGGTAAAATGAGAAAAGTAGTGGAAACTTTCAGTACTGTTTTGAGAATTAAATGGCCTAATATGGACAAATCAGTCACATCTATATTTGACAAAACATATTTTTAAAAGTATATCCAAATCTAAGGACAGAGCCAGCAGGAAAATGCCAGTCCTGCTGCTGGCTCACCGGCCACAGGCAGAAAGAGGACTCAGGAGTGACATCCTGGGGGTGCCAAGTTTGCAGTTAGAGAAATGACATATTTGAATTAGCATCAACTAAGTCGTAAAGAGTTTTGTCTTGACACATCCATTTGTGCATATAATGCACCTTCATCGGTCTCAACCCCTTTATCTCTCACCCTCAGACCCTCTTCTGTCTTCCAAACCAATCTCACTCCACTGTTTCACACATGTGCACAAAGTATTGTGACTGTAATTCACATTCCTTCAACCTCTCCATTTATGTTCCTCCTCCCCCTTGTATCACACGCAGGACAGAACTTGATTTGCATACTGTCATTCATTTTTAATGTGTATGTTAATTATTCATTGTGGTTTTTCTCACATGCATATGCAGCACTTTAATCAGATTGATTTAGGATGCTTTTAGGTACCACTCTCTGAGGATTCATGGCTCTCCGTGTGTGTGTGTGTGTGTGTGTGTGTGTGTGTGTGTACATGTGTGTAAATTAATAGTGAAAAGAAAAAGTCAACTGCTTTGTATGGAGGTTCCTCAAAAGACTAAACATAGAGCTTCACTACAATCCAGCAATTCCACTCCTGGGCATTTATCCAATTGACCTCAGTCCAGGCCACACTAAAGCCATCAGTACAACCATGTTTATTGCAGTATTCTTTACTATAGCTAAGATATAGAATCAAAAAAAAGATATAGAATCAAACCTGACACCCCTCACTGGAAAAATGGATCAAGAAAATGCAACATATACATATATATATATATATATATATATATGTGATATATATGATATATATATATATGTTGCATTTTCTTGATCCATATATATATATATATATGATATACTGCTTGTCTTGTATGTAAGTTTATTGGATTTATGGAGGGGAGGCAAAGAAATAATGGAGCCAGGGGCCAGTGGACCACACCTGTAATCCTAGCTACTCAGGAGGCTGAGATCTGAGGATCACGGTTCAAAGCCAGCCTGAGTAGGAAAGTCTGTGAGACACTTATCTCCCATTAACCACCAGAAAACCAGAAGTGGCACTGTGGCTTAAGTGGTAGAGATTTCTCCTTGAGCTGAGGAGCTGAGGGACAGCATCCAGGCCCAGAGTTCAAGACCCACATAGACCAAAAAAGAGAGAGAGAGAGAAAGAGAGAGAGAGGGGGGGGAGGGAGAGGGAGGGAGGAGGGAGGGAAGGAGAAAAGGAAGAAAAAAAGGAAGAAAGAAAGGAAGAAAGAAAGGGAAAAAAAGAAAGAGAAAAGAAGGAAGGAAGGAAGGAAGGAAGGAAGGAAGGAAGGAGGGAAGGAAGGGTGGGAAAAAGGGCGAATTAATTCAGAAGTGATACTCACTAGACACTATATTGTAAATGAACTATATAACTTGTGGGGTCAGGGAGTTGGGAGGAAAAAAAACTGGGAGAAAATGATGGAAGAGGTGATATTGTTGAAAAGGAATGTACTCAATACCTGGCTTATATAACTATAACCCCTCTGTACATCACCTCAACAATAAAAGAAAAAGAAAAACTGCTTGACCTTCTACACAATTACAACACAGTACTTTCACAATGCTTCACTTCTGCCACCAGATATGAGGTTTTGTTTTTTCTAATGATAGATTCTCTAACTCGATGCAGAGATGAACTAAATGTCTTGGGATTCAGATAGGAAATTCTCTACCTACAGGTGGCACAGACACACAAATTAAGGGCTAAATCCACTTACTGTAAAAAAAACAGACAAACATGTTTCTAGAGAATAACTTAGGAATTCATACATTGTGGTAGAATTTAAAGGGATCCACAAGACTTTTAAAAATAACTCTAGACTATTGATGTGTCGTGTGGAATTGAACACCATTTGCTGTGTGGTATATTGTCAGGGGACTGAACCCCAGTGTTCATGCATGCTAAACTAGGACCCATTCCACAGGGATGTATGAAGGCATTTCCTGCATGGGAATGGAGATTTCTGAGGATTACAAAAATAATGAAATGATGACTGAAGTCACTTCTCTCAGACACTTCCGTGCACTCATAAGGGGATGTAATCAAAATGGTTGTCTCACCTTATTTCTTTGCTCTTGCTTTTCCAGTAAGCTCTCTTGAGATCTGAGTATAGATGAGAGCTCATTGCTCTCTGTGGCTTCAGGGAATTCCCGTGTAGGGTTGCTGTCCCAGTACCCCTGATTCCTTTCCAACCACTCCTTTTATATGTGAAGAATGTTAAATTTATGTCACTATGTCAGTCTTCATGTCATACTGTTTATAAGCATGACTCTATTTTTTCAAGCAAGATGAGATAGACATACTTTGTACTGAGATAATATTTTATTTTAATTTTCACCACTTATATACAAACACAAGTTAATAAAACATCACAGAACAGTAAAATTTCATAGTTAGTATTTATAGGTGCATAGTTTCATGCTCACATAGTTTCTTTTTAAAATAGTATGGATATCAACAGATTTCACAATACATCATTAGTCTTAGACACAATCATCAAAGACACCTAAAAATCTTAGAATATATGATAGCAAATCACTCGCAACTTTTTGACAACAGCAACAACATCAACAACAGCAACAAAATCAGTGAGGATTTAGAAATAAGTGGTAGTCACTTAGGTGTTTTTTTTTTATTGGTTTTAACATGGTAAGATTTGAAGCCACAATATCCACGGCACACAAGGACCCTGCTACTATATATTCATGTCAGTGAAGGGAGCACCGAAATGCAGAGTGAGGGCAGGGACAGATACTTCGATCATTGCTGATGGAAGACTCCAAATACACTGTACAAACTTTGAGAAAAATGTCACGATTGGGCATGTTGGAGCTGAGCACTTGCACAGGATGGAACATCTGTCGGTATATCTCAAGAAACTGGGGATGGCGACGTGTTTTATGCTTCAGGTTCATAGTCTTGATAGCCTTCCTAACATTGGGGAAATCACCAAGAGCATACATTGTTAATGGAAGGGACTGGTCGTCAGTGTGTACAGCAAATGATACAGGACATGACTCGCCACATAAGAGTAAAATTCATACTCATCACAGTTTTTTGAATTATTTTGCAATGAATGGTCCTATTTGTTATCATTTTGGGCACACTTTTCATATAAAAATGGAATTACAGAAGTTATGGTTTGCCTATCTGGGTTCTATTTCTAGATGGGCCACTTGGTCATCATGGGACTTAGTCCTAAGAGGACATGTGGGCTGGCCTCTATCTTAGTTTCCTCAACCAATGAACTGTGAGAGTGAATTTATGAAGTCTCTTTCATGGCTAAGATGTGCTAGATCTTGGAGGGGAATTAAGATATGTAAAGAAAAGATACAGTATTTTTCTCCTTTCATCCATTTGAAAATTTCACTTTCGTGTAAGTCTTCTATGATTATTTTTTTCTTTCTTCTTTTCCCCCTTCTTGTGCTGGTACTGTGGCTTGACCTCAAGGCTTGGGTGCTGTCCCTAAGCTTTTTCACTTATGGATGGTGCTCTACCCCTTAAGTCATAGTTCCACTTCCAGCTTTTTGGTGGCTAGTTGGAGGTAAGTGTCTGACAGACTGCTGACCTGGCTGGCTTCAAACCTCAACCTCTGGATTTCAGCCAACTGAGTGGCTAGGATTACAGACATGAGTTTTTGGCACCCTGTCATAATTACTTTTATTTTATTCTACTTGAAAGCCAGGCTGCCATACAAAGTTTGAACGACATCCACAACAAAAATACTGATGGTTGTAACTAACCAGTTCAAGTAAGTCTGCCTAAAGTATATCTCTAATAATATCAGGATTCTGCTATAGAAAAACTGACTTTTAAAAACTCAAGTTATGTTTTGAAGAAAGTGCAAACTGAAACAGCAAGGTTGTAATTGTGTCGTACAATGAGTAACTTCATTCATTTCTGGAAACTTAGTGTCTCTTTATTCTGTTTCCTAACTTCGACCCACCATTACTTAGTGCTCCCCAGACATAGCCACGTACATAGACATGTATGCCTTTGCTTTGATATTTCCATTATCAATGCTAGCATTCTAGAATGTTCTAGAGTACTCTTTTAGAATGTACTCCCAATATGCCCATAGTCTCCTACACAGCCTCCACAGCAAAATTTCTCCTGATTGCCTAATACAGTTTCTAATAGAAGAGAAATCTGAGAGTGACTAAGTTCTCGAACTACCTCTTAGGAAGATCCAACTTGAATCCTAAAGCTTATTATTATTATTTTTTTGGTCGGTCGTGGGGCTTGAACTCTGGGCCTGGGCACTGTCCCTGTGCTCTTCAGCTCAAGGCGAATGCTCTACCACTTGAGCCACAGCGCCACTTCCGGTTTTCTAGTGCTTTATTGGAGATAAGAGTCTCCTGGAGTTTCCTGCCGGGGCTGGCTTTGAACCATGATCCTCAGATCTCAGCCTCCTGAGTAGCTAGGATTACAGGTGTGAGCCACTGGTGCCCGGCTCTAAAGCTTATTTTGTAGTTTGTGTATATAAACATTTACCTCAGAAGGCATTTCATAAGCCTCGTTGTCAGGATCCACAGGCATATCTTCCAGAATTCCTTCTTGCGGGGATCCCTCTCCACTCTAGTATTTAAAAGAGAAAGCATGAATAATATGAAGTCTTATTTTTCACTTTTGAAATCACTTCAAGAAAATCTTATATATGATACATATATGGGAGATGGCAAAGAAGACAGCCCAAAATCATAGTCCAAAGCTTCAATTCACGTGACAGTGAACTATAAAATAATAACGGTTAACTTAGCAAGACATGGTGGCTCACACCTGTAATCCAAGTTACTTGATCTTACAAGCTAGTAGGTTGAACTCAGTCCAGGCACAAGTTTACAAGACTCTGTTTCAAACAATGAAAAATACTGGGCATGGCAATGGAACTCTCATCTCAGCTACATGGGAGGAGCAAATAGCAGAATCGTGGTCCAGGCTGGAACTATTTGACTTAGAATATGACTGAGGACTGAGAATATAACTTCAGTGGCAGAGTAGATAAAAATGTATGTTGATGTAAAAGTAAATGGATGGGAAGAAAATCCAACCATATATTCAAAGCATTTCATTGGGGTGTTACTTTTGCTACTTTTATTCTTTTCTGAATTTTGAACATGTATCTACATAGAAAATTTTACAATGTATTTTCAATGATAAAAAAGGAAAGAAATCCCTTTCTAAAATTTATACTAGGGAGGACTGAGTCTGCATGTAGTAGAAGAAAATAAGATACATGGGCAGATCATTTTTCTAGGTCATTTCCTAAAAAAAAAAAAAGAGGCTACATAAAAAATTCAGCCCAAAATATCCAGGGCTTTATTTATACTCTCATCAGATACCTTTTGTGGCTTTGCATTTGTTCCAGAAAATCAATTATAAACAGATGAAGTTCATTGATATTCTAAGAACAGAGATGCATCAACAGCCTAAATGGGCTTGCTTGCAGAGATCAAATGGTCCCTCAGCTCATGTTACAAAACCATGTCAGATGTAAATAATATCTCCCTCTGTTTTAATCAGGAAGTGACTGACAGGTGAGTTCAGGGATGTGGAAATGGTTGACAATGAAAGAACTTCAAGCTCAGTAGGTCAGCCTATCCTGCCCAACTTTTTTCTATGACAAAAAGTGCCAAGTCGCTTATAATAAATGATCCCCAAACAACCTCACTTTTAAATGCACAGAGAGATACTGCTTCATATCTTGAGGTAAGAATAGGAGATTCTGTCGTGTGGTGGATATGTACCTGAAAGTGCCATAGGACCTCAGTTCAAATTCTAGCTTCTCCAGAATATTAATCTTTTGTGATGTTGGTATAGTTCCTTATGCTTCTTGTAATCATCAGTTAATCTTAGTGCCAAAATGAATCAGCAATGGCATACATACATACATACATATAAGCATGTATATATATGCATATATAGTATATATATATATACACATATATACATATATATACCTGTGAAAACAACTGAGATTATTAAACCCTTACTGATGCTTAGATAACTACAGGTGACAGTCAAATATGAGGAAAGTATGCTAAATTTCTTCTTTCTATACCTTTTAAATGTGACTAGTAAAGGTTTCAGTTCTTTTAGTGCAATTGGCTAAAAGATTTTTTTGAAGTAGGTTTGACAATCGATATGGCAGACCTGGCCTGGGTTTTGCCCCTCTTGTGCAATTCATGTTGGTGAACACATCTAGTGTGAGTGCATATGTACCTGGGGCAGTCAGTGTATGCTCTTGAATGCTCTTCCAGGTGAGGATGAATATGTTCCTTGTTAATTCTTTATCTAGATCCCTCAGGTGCTAGGAGCAACTGAAATCCATCTTTTTTCATGTTAAGTATTGCTTCCCTCGAGCGCAGAATGTTGACTGATGTAAAAAAAAGTGCATCATGTATAGTTCTGAGCACACACTTTGCTAATCCTTTCAAAATTGAACTCTAAAGGTCTATAGCCAAGTATCATTTGCTTGGAACTAAGAACAAAGTATGAAAGTTGTACTCTCATGTTTTTCCATTTAAGTAATCACCGTATTTCACATCTTCTTGAGAAAAACATCGGCGTTTTAGAGTTTAAACAATTGGCTTAATTGTGAGCAAATGTTTGGAAAATCACAGTGGAAATACAAATAGAGTAGTAAAAGTTTAAAAGACAGATGTTAAACTATGAAAATGATGATACATAGATAATGAAGAAACAAGGAAAATCCAAATAAGAAGAAGGAGCAAATAAGAGCCTAGGACTAGTAATAACTGTAATAGTAGTAACTATCACAGTCATAGTAATAACTATCAGTAATGCTAGCAGGTCCATAATGTCAGAATGTTTTACAAGAAATAAATATAATTCTCTCCTGATAACTGCGGTATTTGTATTTGCATACAATCTATGCACATATTCTTGTACAGTTTAAATCATTTCTAGACTACTTATGATACCTAATACTATGTAAATACCATCCAGGTAAGTATGTAAATAAGAACTGTATTGTTGAGGGAACACTAGTAATAAAGTGTGATTATGAAGTATTTTCCAAAGGCCCATCGGTTGTCAACTTGTAGTAATACCGGGAAGTGGCAGGTAAAGAGGTCGCCTTTTGAGGAAGGAAGTTAGGTCTTTGGAAGAGTGACCTTGAAGTCATAGTTGAGAGCCCAGCTTCTTCCTGTCCCCCTTCTTGGTGTGTGGTCTCCACAAGGTGAGTGGCTTACTTTGCTCCATACCTCTACCATCTTGTAGACTGACAACCCAAGCCCAAATCCCCAAATCAACTATAACGAAAACCTCCAAAGCTGTAAGCAAAAAGATGAATCTTTACACTTGATCAGAATTTATAAAAAATATAGTTGATTTGCTCATCTAAAACCAGTGTAAAATCACTTCTTAGGAAAGAAATATTATCCCTTCTAAAATCCCGACTCTCTTCTGTTAGCAGCTCAGTGCCTGACACATCAATGGCAAAACCATGTAATTACTGAGTCATCTAATAAGGTACCATGACACCGCATCAACTGCGGCTCCTTTTCCCCTGTTACACGAATACAGATCTTGTTGCAAATACTAATTCACAGTGGGAAATCTGAGAATAAACTTCGTTGGTTGTGAGTGGGTCTCGTGGTGAAGAAATATTATAAATGTGTTCAGAGACACTTGAGTTGGTTTATTATTTTAAGTTTACCTGGGGGGGGCTAGATTCTTTTTTAAAAAATGCCCTCTAGCTGTACAAAGGAGTCACCATTTCACAAAGCAGTTTATGAATACTTGCATCTTGGTCAATGTTGTTCCTTTCAACATTCATTCATCCCCTCCCCAACACTCCTTCCCTCCCTTTTCTTAATTTTATAGGGTATGCGTTGAAATTTTGACCGCATTTCCCTTCTTTTTTCTCTTCATGAGTCTGCCTAACCTCCTTTTGTTGTTCCTTTTGTTGACATCTGATTTAGCCTTTCTAGGTAATTACAATGTGAGTTCTTCCCTGAATCTACCCATTTCTGTTAACATGTTTGTATATACTTGCATTCCTCCTAAAGTATCTACTTGTATTTTATAAACTAACTTCTAGCTTCCACGTATGAGAGAAGACATGTAACCTTTGCCTCTCCAGGCCTGACCTCCTTCACTGAACAATTTTACCCAGGTCTTTCCATTACTTTGCAAATGATGCAATATCATTCTCCAGAATGGATGAGTAAAACTCCATTGTGTATAGATACTACATTTTCTTCATTCTTAAACATGGCACCTCAACGTGAAAAGAGGAAGGTCGACTTTGTATTCGACTGAGAACTAGGGAGTCATTTCCATTTTGCAAGCGTATTGATATTTCAAAAGCTAGCAACAGAGGAATGAAAATGTTGAGAGGGTAGATTACTTTGTAAAGTAAGTATTTTAGAGAAGCCTAGGGAATGCTAAAAAGCTTTCAAGAAAAATAATGACAGGCTAACTCTTAAGTATTTGCTTTAAAAAGTAACAGGAAATGGGTCTTACATTCTGACTGAGAGAAAATATTTGAGGTGACACTAACCACTTCTAGGTGAAAAGATGGGTAGGACTTAAGGGCCCCAGGGCCAGCTGGGACCTGGTGGCTCACGCCTGTAATCCTGGCTACTCAGAAGGCTGAGATCTGAGGATCGAGGTTCAAAGCCAGCCTGGGCAGAAAAATTCATGAGACTCTTATCTCCAATAAACCACTCAGAAAACACTGGAAGTGGTTCTTTGGTTCAAGTGGTGGAGTGTTAGCCTTGAGCACAAAGAAACTCAGAGAGAGAGAGAGAGCACCCCAGCCCTGAGTTCAAGCCCCAACTCTACGGTGATTAAATCTGCAAACATTAAGTTGATCACCTGTTAGTTGCCAAGAAAAGCAGTTTATTGGAGACCTAGAGCATACCATTTCCTGAGTAGTTTAGGACTTTGTACTAAAAGGTGTTCTAGTGTTCTTGGATATGGTTTGAAATATCATCACTTGAGGTTCCTACACCCTGATGATAACTGGCAAAGGTTTTTGTTTTTTGTTTTGTCTGAGCCACAGGCCCTCATCTTTTTAAACTTTATGCTGGGGACAACTATTCTTCCCTAGCCCTGGCCCCACCTCCATGCTCCTCTCCGTTCAGTTCTCACTGTACGGCACTATCAGCCAGTAAGTCCATGGCTAGAGGTTACACTTGTGAAGTCAGGATGTTTACTTTTTTAATGTAAGTATCAGAGAAATGCCGTAGTCCACAGAGACTCTGAGAGAAATCAATGATCATTTCCCCATCCCATTAACTACCTTTTATTTCTTGTCTTTTCTCTTCTATTTGGCACTAACTGATTATTTGTGTTCTTTTAATTATTTTGAAGAGCAGCCATTATTTTGGGATTAAACACCCAATAAATCAATACAGAGTTGTGTATTTCATCTCATCCACACATTTCCTTTCCTTAACTCGGCTTTATTTAGATCTCCTTTTGTTGTCTATCGACTAGGAACTCCTGATTTCGGTCTCAGGTGTAGTACATGAGGCGCACAGTATACCGTAGCGCTCTCTATGGTCTTTATGCCTGTATGTGAGATGGAGATGGATTTGGGGGATGCT